GTCTTAACACTTCTGGATCTTTTAACCATTAGAGATCAACCATCAAATTACTTCAACAAGTAGAAATAGCAACACCGCTCCCAAACAGCAATTTCTGCATTGCTAGACACTTATCTAGTTGGTAGATTTATACCATTGTTCATTCTTAGTTCCTTAAACGTAAAAAAATACCCACAGAATGGTGGCATACCTCTAAATTAGTTTAAATATGGCACAAAGTTATTTTTAGTTAGGTTCAAGTTTTAAAAAGACACTAATCATTCTTCTCAAAGGCTAATCTACTCAAGTTCCTCCCATATTAAAAAAATAAAAAGCTTAATTTGTCCCCTTTGGAAAGAAGAAATGTTATTTATATAACACTCAAGCAAAAGGAGATTGGAATAATAGGATAATAGACCTGATATCAAATCAGGGTCAGGGTCATACCTATTGTTAATAAAAATAAGTTTGACATTTATCCTAATGATCTTTTCAAACACTAGCATGGTAAAATGTCATTTATGTGTACTTTCAAATGTAATTCTTATTTTAAAAAAAACAAACACAAAAACTCCACTACTATGCAAAGTACAAAGGAAGAAAACTACCATATACCTTAGAAACTGGTTCTTATTCATGAAAAAAAAAAATACAAGAAACATTCATGTAACATTTATTTGAGATCTAGTATTTATTTTATTCCCTCCTTGTATGCTAGAAAGATGCAAAGACAAACACTTCCAACTATTCAGACAGATCATTCCACAGTTGTAACTTTCATCATAGTTCTCAAAGCAGTCTGGTGAGGTCAGCTCACAAACAGCTTAAGGAGTAAAACTAGAAATTGGTGGTAGTAGTATCAGGCTACATAACAGCCTCTCCAAAGAATATGAAGTAACAGAACTAAAATGTGCTGGCAACATGCCAAGAGTCTGGATGGAATATAGCTTTGAGCAACAAATACCCAGAGCTTACAGTATACAGCAATTCATCATCTCTTACCCTGCAGTTTGATTTTCCTTGTTTTAATTCCAAAATAGCCATATATAACAGGTATTTAACTCTACCAATTCTCCATATTTGTAACTTGAAAGGCACTGGGCTTGCAATGATTTGGTAAACTAAATACATACCCTAAAAAGAAAAATGACTTTCATCCTATGTGAAGATGAGGAAGGTAAAATAGATAATTATATTGATACTGTTCTGCATGGAATAGCCTTTATTCTCTAAGGGTTATACTACCCTCAGTTTAGTTTCAAAGGCTTGGATTTTTCTATACTGTCAGTTCTGACTGAATATCTCTGCAACTGGTTGGTATTTAGAATTAGTCAACCTTCTCAACAATTTAATAAAGAATTAATCCTGTCAGATCAAATGACATAATTTTGGTCAAAATTCCAGACATTAGTCAAAATATGTTACTTCTATAATTTCATCTTTATTGAATCATAATATTAAAACAATAACAAACTCTAATTCTAAGTCTGTCACTTTCTAAACATATATTCTTTCTAAAAAGCCAAAAGAAAATGCAGTTATTTTAGGCCAAAGAAAGAATCGTATTCAACTCAAATCAACACACATTTAACATCTATTTTGTGCCAGACATTATGCTGAGAACTAAAGAAACAAAGATAAATATGTATGTACATGGTCTCACAGAACTGACAATCTAGTTGGGGAAACTGACCCGCTTAAAAATCAATCAGACCAGCAGGTGTAGCTCAGTGGTTGAGCATCGACCTATGAACCAGGAGGTCACAGTTCGATTCCCAGTCAGGGCACATGCCAGGGTTACAGGCTCAATCCCCATTAGAGGGTGTGCAGGAAGCAGTCAATCGATTATCTTTCTCTCATCACTGATATTTCTCTCTCTCTCCCTCTCCCTTCCTCTCTGAAATCAATAAAAATCAATCAGCCCAGTGGGTGTGGCTCAGTGGCTGAGCAGTCAACCCATGCACCAAGAGGTGGCTGATTCGATTCCCCGTCAGGGCACATACCCAGGTAGTGGGCTCATTTCTCTCTCATCGATGTTCCTATCGCTCTCTCCCTCTCCTTTCCTTGCTCTCTAAAATCAATAAAAACATTTTTTAAATCAATCAATAAAATCCATCTCAATCTCTCTCATTCTGTGTATGTATGTGTGTATGTGTTCTAGTAGCTACAGGAACAAAAACACTGGTACCACCCCAGATATGTAATTAAGTCTGCCATAAAGGACAAAATCTTCAGAAAACATAAGCTATGTCTTAAAGGATGAGAATTTCACAAGGGAAAGTCGAATATCACAGGCCAAGGACAGAATAAGCAAAAGCAAGAAATCACAAAACATGGCATGTGTGAGGAAGCCCATGTGTGTGGCAAGGCTAAGAATAACAATTTCTGATTCACGTGCTACTATGTGACAGGCATCACTAATCAATTAAAACATGTTTAAAGTCTATATGAGACTCAAACTCCTTCTCAACAGATAACCCAAAACCAATGGAAGGAACAAGTTCATGTGATAAAATTTACGAGCTATCCTGAGTCTGGGAATAGAAAATGGTGGGACTTGAGACTAGAAGGATAAATAAAGGACAGATTATGAATGACTATGATGCTAGGCTAAGGAGTTTAAATTTTATGCTGTGGACAACAGAGGATGAACAAAGGATTTTATGAAGAATATTGAAATGATCAACTCTGGAAGATGTGTAAACAATGCATCTGAACAGATAGAATAAAGGCATAAAGAACAGTTAATATGCTATTGCAATAGTCTAGGAAAGATATAATGAGGCCTGAATTTCAGCAATGGCAAAAATCTACTGCAGGTTCTAAAACAAAAAAAAAATGGAGTGTTTTAGATTTTATAATCCATGATTTTAAAGCAAGAATTTGAGAAAAATTAGTATTCTATTTAGAATTCCCAAATAATACTCAAAAAGGAAAAGATAAGACAACGTAAGGTAAAGACTAGAATTAAAGAAGTGAATCACAATGATACTCAAGATTACCCAAGACTATAAATTCAGAAATAGATATTTCAGGTTTAGCATCAAGAAAGAGAACGTCCTCATGACCAGACTAATACTCAGCAAGTCTTTTCTTCCTGAGGGCACTAATATTCTAGCCAAGCAACAAACACTACTCACCTTACATGCCCCTACAATGCAGGGTCAAATGCACACTCCCAGTGAGATGCAGAAAGCACAAAAGTCAAATTTAAAACCAAAGTCTGAAACCATATAGGAGTTCCACTTTAGCCAAACATTTAAAACTACATATTTCTTTTTACAAATCTTCTGGAAATATTACTGTCCTACCATTAACTAATTCATATCCCAGCCTTTAAACTCTAAGATTCTTTATGTGGAATGCAATCTATTTGTAGCACTTTGGGCAGTATGCAAAAAAAAAAAAAAAAAAAAAAAAAAAAAAAGCAACACTCCTATCACTTCTGCAGAATGTTTAATAGATGAAATTATTCTAATTAAAAATAAAAGCTTCATTGTAACTCTAAGGCCAAAGATAGTCAAAGAGTTTTTCTATTTTGGAAAAAGATTCTTTAGCTGTTGCAAACAGGCTAATGTAGTGATGTGAAATCCAAGGACAACATGTTAACAACCATGCTAGAAAAGCTAGCATTACTGTTTTAAGACCTAAGGATATTCACATTAAGGATAAAATTATCCTGTCATGAATGCCAACAATTCACTTCATACTACATAGACACATATTCAAGGGCACTACTTTGTTTTCAACCCAATTCTTTTGCGTCCCAGTAATGAACTCTCAAATTGGGATTCTCCTCCTCTTAAAATAAGCTAAAATGAAAAATATGAACTCCGGAGACAAAATTTATTTGTGGTATACTGTTTATTCTGATCAAGCAAATCTAATGAACACTTTATCATAATCTATCTCTTTTCCAGAAAGATATGGATTAGCTAGTCAGGAGCAGGGTCTACTTCTCATGATGTCATTCCAAAGCCATTGCTAAATGTTACACATGTTATGCTTCCTTCAAATCAATCGCAAAATAAGTCATCCCAAGACTGAGGTCAAATTCCATTTCAACCAAAAGCTCTCCAAACTTAAAGTAATGGTCCATTTACTAGGTAATAGTCAAAGACTAAATTCCAGAAGAACCCTCCTCCTGTATCTCAACCCGCCCCCCAAACCATTCCTCTCCTTTTAGCTCATTGTAATGGAATGTGACCTGTAGTTAAGGGCTTTTCCATTCCTTACTACTGCTCAGAGAACAGATCTGCTGTTTCATAAAGGCAATATATGTTTTAAAAGAAAAAAGTGAAGTGCTATTAGATGTTAATCACATAACAATTAGAACAAACAAAACATAAATTGGTTTACTAGATTTCTCATGTATGACAGTAGAACAAGTGTATATACTAGTAAATGACAACTGAATATTTAACTTAATATTTTTATTTTAGGACACTGGTCAGACATCTAAAAGATGATTTGTATGACTCCTCACAAATTAGGTAGGGAAGGAGAAGTTAAAACTACAACTACTTAAATAAATCTTCACACACAAAATTACTATGAACATCTTTTCATGACAAATCATATTTTTATCATTGAAGTTACACACTTTTAAGCATCCAATGTAGAGAGAGGAGGGAAATATTTAAGAAATGTACTTCCAAGTCTAAAATTAAACACATCTGGCCCTGTCTTCTCCCTCCCCTCCCCCAGGCATAGTAGCTTTACCTTTCTCTCTTCTAAGCATGAAGAGCCCTTCTTCTGCCTCTGTATCTTGTTTCCTGAGCCCATTTCTCCTACAGCTCACTTCTACCTCTGTGATTTTCTAAATAAACTTTCTCTTACAATTTGAAGGGGAAAAAATTAAATTCAACACATCTATCTGGGATTCAGTTTCATGTTTTAAAAAAAAATAGGTATTAGAGCTACTGTGATACTTTAACCCGTTTTAAAATAAACAACTTTTATGATTTATTTTAGACAAAACATATCCCAAGATAACCCCCTTAAGGATATATTTTACTTACATTCTTCCTACACCTTCATACATGTTAGTCTCGTCTACCAAAGTCATAATCTCTGTATCTGTAAGATGGGTATGCTTTTTCGTTCTGTCTAGCTGTTCAATCTGTATGTCTGCAAGCTTCACCTTCTGTTGAGTGTCAATAACTTTAGCTTGAAGCTCTGTGAAGGCCTAATAAAAACAAGTCCTTGATTTAGTAGGTGAAATATTTTATAGGAAACATTTAAGTCAAATCCAAATATGTTAAAATAAAGCATGCTAACCAGAGGCAAAGCTGTGAAATTTACTAAACCAAACATCAATAAAAGTTAGTATAATTGTAATCAATCAAGCCACTAGGCTAACTACTGAATATACCCTGTCCTCAGAATATGGAATCATTTTGAAGCAGAAATAAATGCACATTAAATAATAGCCATATCAAGCAGCAGGTGCTCAAGGAGTAATAAAAGTAACAAATGTAACAGTCAGAGGATGAAACCCAGAGATCCAAAACAAGAACCATAAAGGGAACAACAACTCTCTACATTTGTATTACTCAACTAGGTTTCAAAGCACTTTCCCACATTTGTTTCAAATAGTAATATAGGTATCTTAATAAAATGAGAACACTGAGGGATATAATAAGTATCTCATTTAATCCTCTCAAATCTTATGAGTTATGGTGGCAGTTTCATCATAACAGTTTATAAATTAAGTAAATGTGATAAAGAGAGTTAAGTGGCTTGCACAGGGTTGAACAACTATCGGGAGGAAAGGCAGGTACTTAAATCCACTTCTTCTGACCTCCAGTTCAGGAATCTTTTTATTCTATTGTCTACAGTAATATCCAGAATATAAATATTTTTAAGAGAAAGAAAAAAACACATTAGTATTAGAATTGCATCATGATCTTCACATGCGTAGACAAAGCCAAATTTGACCCTTAGGTACACTTAAATATAAATACAGTTCGTGAATACTCTTGTTTAAGTGCCTGGAATGACTGTCACATGCTGTCAAATTTATGCCTTAATAATATTTGTGACTGCAATACATGGCAAAGGCTACTACTTAACTTTTATTCTGACTTGATTCTCACCTACTAGTAAGGTTTCAAAATATTCATTTGGGAGGAAGGGAGGAGCCTGAACTTTCCTATTAGTCTCCAGGCAAAAATCATATTAATAATAATTTACATTAGAAGTCAAAATTTTTAAACAAGTTTCTTTAATTTAATTGTCAAAACTATCCAATTTAAGGCTGAAATCATTTTCTTAGTTTGCATTCATTGCCCACAGGTTTCTTAGCAACAAATTTAAATACTGGGAGGTGAGTCCATTCACAGCTGTATGCTATTGTTAGCTCTCTTACTAAACCCTGACTTAAATTTGAACCTTTAACAGAATAAAAAAGGTAAACTTTTAGAATGCTTTAAGCATTCTTAAAATGAATTTTGGTTTGCATACAAAATTACAGGTACTACCTGACTGTTCGGTACACAGTTTGCTAAGGACACTGGTGTATTGTTAAAGCTGAGATACTACAGCGTGAGAGAACACCACCTAAGGGCCAAATTTACAAGTTTCAAAACAAGAATGTCAAAAAGTAAGATACACGCATAAATCCTCACAGCAGTAACAACTTCAATGTTTAGGATCTACAGCTATTTCAGCTGTCCTATTGCTTATGCACAGACTGACCAGAAGGCAGTCTTAAGTAAAATGTGTTCTTCTCAAGAACCTAAACTAATAGCCAAAAGGTGTGGAGTAAGGAGGGGATACTGGATTCGACCCCAACCTTTGACTGCGTCTTTTCTGGAACTCCGTTTCCTTTTCTAGAAAAGGACAGGTTTAAAGTAGATGAAGCCTGGGATTCTTTTCCATCCCCGTCCCCCTCCTACCTCCCTCCCACCCCCAAAAAATATGATTTGGGGTCAGTAGACATGTTACAATCCTGACAACTGGTGGTGAAAACGTTTCTGAATGACAACACACTTATAAGCAATTGAAGAGATAAACCTAATTTCTTCCGATATCAATTTTATTTCGAAAACTTCACGGGACTTGTTTCGTTTCTTCGACAACTCCTGCAAAAACGGTGGGGGGAGGGGGGCCACAGCCCTGAGATGAGCATTGCTATGAGCATATCTAACTCTGAACTGTAGCGCGACCTTCCCAAGTTTGGGGTGGCATAAGAGGCCTAAAAGCACTGGCCGGAACAAGGGACGACAGGACAAGCCCGTTATCCGCCCGCCAGACTCAACCCAACCCACCCAGCCGGCTCTTCCCCAGCAAAAGCCGCTCGCCCCCCACTCCAACCTCAGGAGACCCGCTCCCGTCTTAGGATCCCGGGATATCACCCTCCAGCTCCCTGGGGCCTCTTTCCTTCCGCAAGACTCGAGTCTCCTCGATATTCTTGTCCACAGGTCCCTCAGCGACCAAAGAGGAGCCTCGGCCTCCTCCACACGCTTTCTTACCTTCTTCAACTCCAGATCCACGGGCGCCGCCATCTTGGCTCCCTCTCCGCGCCTGCGCGGTGGAGAAAGCCGGAAAGTGTGCGGGGGAAGGGCGCGCCTTGGAGATTTGACTCTTCCCTCCTTCCTTCTGCGCCTGCGCCGCAGGAGGGGGGGCGGTGGCTAGTCAGCTTCTTCCTTTCTTCCCCGCTAGTAACTCTTTTTTTTTATATATATATTTTATTGATTTTTTTGAAGGGAGAGGGATAGAGAGTTAGAAACATAGATCAGCTGCCTCCTGCACACTCCCCACTGGGGATGTGCCCGCAACCAAGGTACATGCCCTTAGACCAGAATCGAACCTGGGACCCTTGAGTCCACAGGCCGAAGCTCTATCCACTGAGCCAAACCGGCCAGGGCCCCCGCTAGTAACTCTTGAAAGATCCCAGGTTACGATTCAGTCTGCGGACCCCCTGTGATCTATCAGGCCTGGCCTACTTCTCCACATCCTTCCAGACACAACACTACACGCAGATTTCGTGTATGGTTTTAAGCATTTTAACAAATTGCTTAGTTTGTGCTACTAAATTGAGATGTATGTAGATCAGGCCAAGCCTCTTTAGTCATTCAGCTAGTCCCTGTGCTGTCAGGGATGAGAAGAAAAAAAAAAAATCAGCCTGAGCATCAGGTATGCCAGTATGGAGAAGACCAGAATGCTACTGAAGTGTCCTTCCCAAAGAACTTATTTCTCCTGAACTCTCCTGAAGACCTTTTGGCACAGTGGTTCTCGAGAGAGGCCAAATAAGTTTGTTTAAATATATATACATATTCATTCTCTGGTCCTTATCCCAAATTTATTTACTTAGAATCTTTGAGTTTGGGGTCCAGGGTCTCACACTTTTGCAAACAGCCTTTATGACCTGATGCAAGTCATCTGCAGACCACATTTTGAGAATTTGCTGTATATGGCCAAATTTGAACAAGAAGGATGGATAGAAATTGGACTTTTGAAAAATGGAAGAAATGGATGTTTTACCTACTCTATAAACTTGTGAGGGAGGGTAAAGGACGGAAATTTGGAACCAGCCAAATCTGAATTGAAGGTTTGGTCTACCTTAACCATAGGTCTGTCTGGTTCCATTTACTGTGTGGCAGTAGAGTTTTTCTTCTCTTTTAATTTTAGAATAACAATATTGACCTAACAGGGTTATCACCTGAGGTTTTTTTGGCTGTGAATTCTTCCATTGGGAGCATTTGCTGTTCTTTCTTGTGACAGTTGATTTTCTCATATGACATAAGTTTTTGTCTAAAAACCTATCTTCAGTGTCTATCGTGTCCTGGGCTGTGTAAACATCCCTAAGGGTAGGTTCACATTCACTTCTACCAAAGCCCTATGAGGTTCATGGTTCTAGACCAGTTCTTACGTTAATTCTTGATAAATATGAGTGAAGCATATTTGGGCAAAAATAAAACTTTCTCTGACCATAAAGTTGGCAGAATGTGATATACATTTATGGACTGGAAGCCACTGTATTATTTTTTCATATCTCCTTTTTTAAAATATATTTTATTGATTTTTTACAGAGAGGAAAGGAGTGGGATAGAGTTAGAAACATTGATCAGCTGCCTCCTGCACACCCCCTACTGGGGATGTACCCACAACCAAGGTACATGCCCTTGACCGGAATCGAACCTGGGACCCTTGAGTCCACAGGCCGACGCTCTATCCACTGAGCCAAACCGGTTAGGGCCATACCTCTTTTTCATTTAGGTCTTCAAAATAAAGTTATTTTCTTTCTCTCTCTAGAGCTTCTAAAATGGCAGGAAAAGATTATCTATGAAAGCCTTGCAGTAGTACTTGGACACTTGCCTAGAGAATAACCAGAATGTGCTAGCTTCTATTATTTCAGAGAAAAAAACAGACTTCACACTAAAGGCTTCACTAATATAGGAATATACTACTTCTGAGGTTTAATAAGCTATGAAAATTTAGAAAGGTGATCTCCTATTATCCCTCAGCTCTGCCTTACCCATGCTCAATACATTTATTTATTCCTTCAACAAATATTTTTTAACATATGTTAGGCACCCTTCTCCCTTCTCTCCCCACAGAAAATAAAATAAAATAAAATAAAATAAAATAAAATAAATAATAAAATAAAATAAAATAAAATAAAATAAAATAAAATATGTTAGGCACTGATCTAGACCCTTGGGATATAACAGTAGCAAAAGACAAACTCCCTGACCTCATGGGGCACATATGCCAGTGGGGAAAGATAAACAATAAACATGCAAACAAATATTTTAAATATTAATGTGTTTCTAAAGAAGGAAATAACAGTGTGGTTAGAGACTGACTGGGTGGAGGCTACTTAGGTGTAGGAAGCTCTCTAGAGGGAGATGAGACCAGAAAAATGAGAATGAGCCAGCTATTCAAAGAACTGGGGAAGAGCATCCCAGACAGAAGGAATAATAAGAGCAAAGAGTTTAGGATGGGAACGGCTTGGCATATTTGAAGAACCAAAGGAAGAAGCTGGGTGGGGAGAATTGTAAAAGGTGACATCAGAGAGTTGGGCAGGGGGCCAGACCATAAAAGGCCTTGTAAGCTATGGTCAGGGTTAGAATGTTATTTTGAGTGTGATCTGAAGCCATTGAATGATTTTAAGAAGGGGATTGAAATGATCTGAAGAGATTGATATGATCCCATTTTAAAGAGATGAGTGTGGGTTCTAGGTGGAGAATGGATTGGAGGGAGCAAGAATGGAAACAAAGCCGAAACCGGTTTGGCTCAGTGGATAGAGCGTTGGCCTGTGGACTGAAAGGTCCCAGGTTCGATTCCGGTCAAGGGCATGTACCTGGGTTGCGGGCACATCCCCAGTAGGAGATGTGCAGGTGGCAGCTGATCGATGTTTCTCTCTCATCGATGTTTCTAACTCTCTATCTCTCTCCCTTCCTCTCTGTAAAAAATCAATAAAATATATTAAAAAAAAAAAAAAGAATGGAAACAAAGAGTCCAGTTAAAAGACTATTGCAATAGTACAAGAGATGATGATGGTCTAGGCCAGTGGTCGGCAAACTCATTAGTCAACAGAGCCAAATATCAACAGTACAACGATTGAAATTTCTTTTGAGAGCCAAATTTTTTAAACTTAAACTATATAGGTAGGTACATTGTTATTAACTTAATTAGGGTACTCCTAAGGCTTAGGGAGAGCCCCACCCAAGGGGCCAAAGAGCCGCATGTGGCTCGCGAGCCGCAGTTTGCCGACCACGGGTCTAGGCGAAGATGATAGCACTGGAAATAGAGAGAAGCAGATGTATTCAGGTAGAGGTTACTGAGCTTGATGAAGGAATGGATTGGGGGTAGGGGTTGGCAATGAAAAAAGAGGAATCAAAGATCATTCCTAATCTCCAAATAATAATGTTGAGTGAAAGAAGCCAGAAAAAAAAGTAACATACTATATGATTTTATGTATATAAAATTCTAGAAAATGCAAAAAAATCTAAAGTGACAAAAAGATCAGTGGTTGCCAGATAGTAGTTGCCATGAGGGAAACTAGGGAGGAGGCAGAAGGAAGGGAATACAAAGGAGCATTAGATAACACTTGTGGTGATGGATATGTTTATGATCTCTTAATTGTGGAGATGGTTTCCTGAGCGGGAACTTATTAAATTGTATACTTTAATGTATTTAGTTTATTGTATGTCAATTATACCTCAATAAAGTTGTTTTAACGGAAAACAAAGACTCCTAGGTTTTAGACCTGAGCAAACTAGTTGAATGGTAATGTCTTTTACTGAGAAGAGAAAGTTAATTCTTATGATATAGCCTGCATGCAGTCTCAAAGCCACTCTGTAGGAATAATAAGAATAATCCATCCTCCTGTAAATAGACCATATTAATTGAGAGTATAGGTCAGAGACCCAAAATAGCAATGAATGAAACAATATAGAAGCTTATTTCTCTTTGTCACAATCAACCAGGCATAAGCATTGTAGGGTAAGTATCTCATTCCACAATGCCAGAGTTCCCCGCCCCCTTCTATCTTATCTATCTGTTCCAAAATGACTCCTCACCACCAGGTCCGAAGCCTAGCTAGAAGGAAGGGGAAAAGTAAGGGCAAGCTCACTTCTTCTCTTTAAAGGCATGTCCTAGCCCTGAACAGTCTGGCTTGGTGGATAGAGCATCAGCCTGCAGACTGAAAGGTCCAAGGTTCGATTCCGGTCAAGGCCATGTACCTTGGTTGCGGGCACATCCCCGGTAGGAGGTGTGTAGGAGGCAGCTGATTGATGTTTCTCTCTATCCCTCTCCCTTCCTCTCTGTAAAAAAACAATAAAATGTATTTTAAAAATTTAAAATAAAATAAAAATAAAGGCATGTCCTAGAAGTTGTAATAGTTCTGTTGATATCACATTGGCCCAAAAAGAATCACATGGCCATTCGTGGCTGCAAGAAAGGCTGGGAAATGTAGTTATTATAGGCAACTATGTGTCTAGTTAAATACCAGTAATTCAATTATTATTAAAAGGAAATAGAAAACAGTTATTGTGGGGGAATTAGCAGTTTCTGACATCAGAGCTTTTCAGCTTACAAAGTCATTTGATTTTCACAACTTTGAAAGATAGATAGACTCTGAAGGGTTCATTCAGTTTGAGAGGAAGTTTAGCAGAATGGTTAAGAGTATAGGCTTTGGAGTCTGACATCCTAGTCAAATCCTGTTTCCGCCAAGGATGTCAGCCTCCAAGGAAAATTACTTAACTTCTCAGAGCTTCAACTGTAAAATAGACACAATAATAGTACCCATCTCATAGGTTGTTATGAGGATTAAATTTGATAATGCATGCTAAGTGCCTAATATAGTTGTACCTAATCAACATTATGTGTCAAGTATGGTGAACCTACAGATAAACAAAAGAGCAGTTCACAGTACAGTGGGGGATTCAATAGAGAGTTATCAAAGAATATGGAAATTCTGCTGTAGAGGAAGTGACCACATGAGATTGGAGAACACAGAGGAGAGGGCTCCTAAACCAGGAGTTTTGTAGGGAAAATGGGAGTTTGTTGCAAAAGGAAGGGAAAATGAATATTCCTAGAAGAGAGACAAAACACCAAGGTGAGAGC